CAATTAAAACAAAGGTTCTGGGTGAAAGATGGTGGAACCAAGATTTTTTTTTTTTTTTTTTGAACTACTTGTATCAATTAAAGAAAAGGTGCAACTCTCACTCTAGAAAGACATTTTTTTTAATGTATTTAACAAGTAATGTTTCGGCCATTGTCAAGTCATTCATTTGAGGCATTTTTTAGAATTGTTCAAATATTTTTTCAACAATTAATTGAATATTAGTTCCACAGATTGTGTCAACATGATGATGATGTGTGGTATTGCATGTTGATATTAGCATATTAAGAAGATCAAGACCTTGGAAGAAGATCAAATTCAGGCCAAATTCAGCAGATACTTTATAAGACAATAGTTATCAATTAGCTCTCACAATAAATTGATAGGATCTGTGCCTGAAATATTTTGTTTTAAAAGTCATGGGGCCAAAGTGTACCATATTCATAGAGATTGCCACATGTTCATATTGGTTTTGCTGTAAAAGTATTTGAAATTACACGCTTCCACCATTTCAGATAACAAAAGAAAACAACAGCATTAAAGTGTTGAGAGACAACACACACACACATACACACACACACATAGCGAAATCTAGTTTTTCACCTCCATGAAAATGAAATCAGATCCCTCAAAGGGCACTCAGCTGCCATGATTACACTCTTTTGTTGGGAGTGTTAAATTTGCAAGCCCGCTAGCTCCCCCCTATAAAGACGTATTCCCCAAAGTTTCCATTCAATAAAAGGCTGAAAATGAAAATATTATTTTCCTCCCTGGCTGATGGTAGTTGTTGTTTCCTCATGGCAGGCATCTAATATCATCTGACACCTACTGACCCGCCTGAATGCAATTTGTGTCTTAATATCCAGCTTACAGCAGCCCCGTCCTCAGGAGAGTTGAGGTGTTAGGTGATTTTCTCTCTCTACATGACTTCAAGGATGCCCAGTTTCACTCCTCTTTATCCTCTTTTGTCCTAAGAAAGAATTATATAAATGTATTGAAAACTGGTTGAGCAAGAGTGTAGATATAAAAAT